GGATCACATGCGGCGCCAGGCACTCATATGGAGCAGAGACATTCACAGTGCTGGGCTCACCTTCGAGGACATGCTGCGCATAGCAGATGGAGTGCAACCGGAACTGGATGGATGCGAGATCTTTTCCGGTGCTGGTAACATCTATACTGCTATGCATTTGCGAGACTTGAAAGCCGAGAAGTACGACATCCTGGAGAACCCCTTAAACGATGCTCTGACCAACTTAGGTGCGACACGTGCCACAAGAATGGTGGCACGTGTCCGCCCTGGTGGGATGGCCTGGATTGCTTGTGATTGCGGCAGCTTCTGTCACCTCTACAGCCAGAGTGGCCGCTCGAAAAGCAACCCAGCTGGTGACGAGACGCGGTTTAAAGTGGAGCAGGGCAATTCCATGGCTCGACTGAGCATTCTGCTGTTTCCGTTGAGCTGGGTCCGTGGGGTTTTCCCCATCCTGGAGAACCCCCAGGCTAATTATTTCTGGAGTTATGAGCCCATCGCTCGCACTTTGTCTTACATGGCCGCCCATGTCACTGTCGCCATCTGCTGCCGCTGTCGCTTCGTTACAGCTCGGGAGAAGGAGAAGAAACCCTATAAGCTTGTTGGCACTGCAAGCTGGATGGGTGACTTAAACTTTCCGTGCAAGTGCAAGAAGGAGCACAAGAAGCTGCATACAAGGAAGGTGGATGCGCATGGAGTTGTGAAGACCACAGGGAAGGCGGCTGTGTTGAAAGCTTCGGGGGAATACCCCCTGAAGATGGCCAAGGCTATGGTGGCTGCATGGATGCTGCACTACCGGAAGCCTCAGCCCACCAGTGCCTCAGATGACGATTGGTGCCGAAATTTGGAGTGAGTTTTCAATGCTTGGACTTCGTCGGTGTGCCTTAATTAGTGCAGCTGTGGATCCACTGCTGCTGACGTTTCGAGGCATCAGAGTGCACATATGGAAAAGAATGGAATTGGAGAGGAACAGAGCAACGAGATTGTTTTAGCTTGTTTGCAGCTGTACTGTTGGATCATATCATCCACACACTCCAACCCTTTTCTTCTGCAATCTTTTTCAGTATCAGGGTATGCAGTGCTGCCAACTGTGTTTGAGAAGAAATGAAATCTAAAGGCTGGAGCTGAATGTTGGCGCAGCTGGCGGCAGAGAGACTTTCTTGTGTGTCATGAGAGCATTCGTTGATGCACCAGTGATCGAAACATCTGTACATCATGGATGAGGCATAATTGGGCATAATTAGTATAGAAGTGCTTGAATCCAACATGTCGGAGTCATGGATGACTTGTCCTTTGGAGGAGTCAGATTCTGCAACCCAGCCGTCTGAGAAACCGCCCCGGAAAAGGTTGAAGCCTGACACTTCTTGGATGAAGCCAAAGTTGGAAGACAGGCAGCCATCCCGGAGGGGACGGCAGCCGACTTCGTCTCAGATGCAGGTGAAGCCAGCAGAAGATGACTGGATGCAGCCTCCGGTGGATGATTGGATGCAGCCTCCGGTAGATGATTGGATGCAGCCTCCGGTCGATGAGGCAATGCCGCCGCCGTGTGTGCCAGAGGCAGCATCTTCACAGCCAGTTGTGACGGAGATCATGAACATATGCATGCCCTTGCTAAAGGTTCTGCCCAAAGAAAGAGATCACGACAACGTCTACAGTGCTCATGGGAAAGACATTGATAGGATCACACAAGCACTACGAGGCAAGTGCGGATGCAAGAAGAATTGCATGACGAAGTTCTCGGTGAAGCAGGTTAAGGTTTTGGCTTCTGCATGGCATGACCTTTCGACGGCCACACAGTACCAGGTTTTGTTCAACATGTTCAATGGTGAGAAGTGCAGTGAGCAGGTACGTGACATGGAGACCACAAATTCTGCAATGAAGCGGAAACAATGGCAGCTTGATGGTCGGGATGTCTGCTTCAGGGCTTTTTGCCGACTGCTGGGCCATTCCCCCACCACTGTACTGCGAATGATGCATGGGGATCCCGACCGCAAAAGTGGTTTGGACAATATGCCAACTCGCCCCCGTCCACACCCTCAGCAGGACATTGTCCATCATTTCCTTATGGACCAGTACATGAGTGCTGCCGAAACATTGCCTGAGGTCATGCAAGGGGATGGCACAAGCTTTGCTGAGCAAGCATTGGACACAGATGGCTCACAATCTGCAGCTCCCTCGGAGACTTTCCAGAAGTCGTTTCTGTGGAACTTGGACACTTCAATCCCCGAGCGGGTTGTTGCACTTTTTGGCAAGGGTGATGGCAGAATGCAAGCGCCCCTCCGGTTTTTGCCACCAGGTCAGATATCTGACCTCTGGTATCAGTTTCTGGCTTGGTGTCAAGCCCAGCGTGCACAGCTGCAGCCACATGAACGTTCAGATTCCGATTCGCAGTTCCAGATCCCTTCATGGAGCACATTTATGCGTGTGTGGCACCAATACTGGTACAAGCAAGTGCTAGATTTCAGACAGAAATCATCTCATGCCGAATGCACTGTCTGCTGGGAGGCAAAACAGCTGCTGCACAGTCAGGGTTTACCTTTGCATGAACGTGTGCGCCATGCAGCTGCATGGCGTGCACACTTGGCCTGCCAGTATGCTGACAGGCTTCTCTACTATCACATCCGGTATGCATCCCGTGCAAAAGCTGGACTGCTGAGTCTTGTTTGTGACTCTATGGACAAGGCCAAATTTGCATACCCGAAGATGAACTACGATCGCCTTCCCAAATCAGTTGAGGGGCTTCATCGACCTCGCTTTGTGTTGACTGCTGCAATGTGCCATGGCCATTGCTTGGGCATCTTCGTCTCTGATGATGAGACCCGGCCAGTTGTGAACAAGATTGATGTCGTTGTGTGCCCCTGATGCCCCATATTTCAGTGATTGTACTGTGTGTTCGATCTGTGAACCCAGGAGTCAGTCAAGCACGGAGCCGATCACTTGGTGGAAATCATCAACCGTGTTGTGCAGAAAATTTCCGAGAAGGGCGATCCACCAAGCCACTTGGTGCTGCAGTCAGATAATACTTGCAGCTTCTCGAAAAACTCGACTACCCACTTGTACTTTTCGTATCTGGTCGCAGCGGGAAAGATGCAGACTGTGACCGCAAACTACCTAGTTCGTGGTCACACTCACGAGGATATCGACGCTCTTTTTGCAGAGTTTCTACCGGTGCTGCGAAGGTCAAGTTTTGATTGTCTGCAGGATGTTCTAGACATCATGCAAGCCGCAATGCAGGCCCGAGCTGAAAACTGCGGCGAGGCACTTCTGGTGCAGGACAGCTCGGATATCCGTGCCTACGAAGACTGGCTGTCCACAATGGGAATCAAGCTATCCAGTGCATTCATGCCGAGGAAGCCAAAAGGACAAGATCATCTGCAGGACGTTCCTCATTCGTACATCTACAAAAGGCGAATGGACCTGACAGCTTTGGAGATGTCAAGACTTCCACGTGCAAGCAAAGAAGGTGATACCAAAGATGTGTTTGTAGTCTGCAAAAGCAGGATGCTGGACAAGGACACCCATCCTCCGGTCTTGGTTCTTCCACACAGTCGCCTCGGCAGACTTCCTCCTTTCCAGGACATTCCCCTGGTGCCGCGTCAAACCGTGTCCGACCAGAGGCGAAAGGATTTGATAAAGCTAGCAGGTGATGTGGAGAGGGCGCCCTTCAGCCGGGGAGCCGGCTCTGATGCTCTGAAGAAGTTGGCATCAGGAAGTTATCAGCCGGAGAAGTCACCCCTGCCATGGTTTGAAGCCGCTGGCAGCATGCTTCCCCCGAGCATGTTGTCCAGGAATGAGCTGTTTCCTCATCTGCCAGAGGCAACATGGCCCATGATGGCAAAGTTTCGATGACCTGCCGGCCTCATGCAGAAAGTGTGTGTGTGTGTGTGTGTGTGTGTCGGTGCGAATGCAATGTGCGATTTGTGTAAACATTCTGGGGACATGCTATTCAAGTGACTTCCGCCCCATACAAGTGTTTAAGGCCTGGCTAGGATGGCTTGTGGCAAGCTCACAAATTTACTGGTAGAGCATGCTGTCTTATCATGGTGCATTGCTTCACAGGAAGTAGACACACATGTTAAAGAGCTTCTGCAATGCTGTTGATCGAACATGCTTGGAACGAGAGCAGGGATAATTAACAGGGTGTCGTAAACCTAAGTTTTCGAACCGCCACCCCTGATTTCGAGACACCCAGCCATTTTTCGAGACACCCTTGAGCTGTTGGCAGTACTACAGCCACCCTCCCTTCCCTTCCACTGCAGAGGAGTTGCCGCAAATCATGCACATCGAAGAAGGCCTGCCGGCATCAAAGGTGGGTAGGGCTGTCATCAAACATTTGACTTATCTGGCACTGTGACAGTGCAGCTAAGCTTTCTGGCGCTGTGATAGCGCATGGTGCATGCTATTCTCTTTAGGAAAGACATCAGGCGCTGTGAGAGCGCACACACATGAAGATGCAGCGACTAAGACTATCGAAGCTCCAGAAAAAAGACACTGATTCAACCCGCAGGCCAGAATTGAAAGAAAGCCGAAGATCGGGATGCTCAGGCCTCAGAGTGCATAGTTTTCTGAAGATGCATCACTGAAGTGGATTCTGTTGGGCACTAGCAACAACATGCAAGCACTGTGCTGCACAGCAAAGGCCCAAGACTTAAGAAGGTTTGTGAGTTCATGAAATACAGAGATCATGGCAGCTTCATCGAGCGGTGGGGTTCTTATTATGTCCTTGTCATCGATGCATATATAAAATATGCTCAACTGTAACTACTTTACCTTTGATGCAGAAATTTGAATCCATCACAGTTGCACAGGAACAAGTAGCATCACCGAAAAGCCATGTCCGGATCCGGGTGGGCCGGGTCGTCGAGCTGGAATGATGGCACATGGTGGCACTGGGATGATGATGAGGAGGAGGAGACGGGACAGGGAAAGTCCGGTTCCCAACGTGGTGGAAAGGGGACCACACAGATGAAAGGACGGCAGGGAGGGATGGCTCTGTGGGCCAGGTTTGAGGATGGAACACAGGAGAGGACACGCTCCCAGGCTGATCGTGAGGCGATCAGGGCTCCACTGAAGAAAGAGATCAAGGAGCTCAAAGCACAGCTGGCGACGGTTCAGAGTGAAGCGGACCAGACGGCCCGCGAGCTGGCCAGGAACCAGGCAGGGCCGGGCAGGGAAATGCCATCATTCGCGGTTCCCAGAACAAACCTTTTCTTGGGCAGGGCATGAACGCCGACTTGAAGCACAGGGCCGAGATGGCTGAGGCCACTAGTTTGTGTTGGCGTTTTGCAAGTGAAACTTGTGTCCAATGCCTTGTTTCTTTCCAGGGCCGAGTGCGCAAAGTGAATCTGGACCTCATCACTGCCAAGTCCACAGAGGAGGCCTTTACTGCCCGGTTTCCACACAGTTTGAAGATGATTCAGTTTGTGGTTTCTTGCCAGGTCCACTTGAAGTCGAACGACGACCTTAAGAAGCAGCTTCAGGCATGGTAGCCATGCACAATCACAGGCCATTCATCCTGCAAGCCCTTTTCTGAGGATTGCCAAAAGAAGGTCACAAGCCTGGAGGCGGAGGGCCAGCAGAAGGACACAATGGTCACAAGCCTACAGGCGAAGTGGATGAGCACAGAGTTACATCAGATTTCATTGTGCACTCAGACCATTTTCCAAAACAGCGGCAGGCCGACTTAAAGCAGCTGCAAGAAGTGAAGGCACTGGGAGTTCAATTCAGTCGACATATAGGGCCATCCGGGAATCTGCCCCAGGAATCCAGCGACCTCCAGAACGAGGAGGAGCTCCGTGGAGCCAAGGCAATCAGTCTGGGCAACACAGTATATTGTGCATGGGTCGGCACAGCACACAATCTATCATGCATTGCAGAAGTGACAGGCCTTACTGGACAAGAAGGAGTCGGAACTTCGCGAAGTCCAGGCAACGGGGTCAATGCAGTCTTGTTTTCACAGCTACTGCAATGTGCTGCTAGGAGGAAAAGGCGAAGTGGAAGTACAGAGCACACGAAATCAAGAGTGCAAGAAAGGCCGAACATCAGCACCGGCATCACAACATCATGACTTCATTTGCTATGTCAGGAAACGGCTCGCATGGTTCAGGAGGACATGATGATCAGAATGGTCAAGAAGGCCTGGTGAGCGACATCACTGGGGCTCCCACCCTCCCGAGTGCATCCGCCAGGAAGAGATGATCCAGATCCTGCAAAGCAAGAACGACACAGCTGAGGCTGCACACCCATCAGCAAGCTTGCAGAATCACAGATGGTTTCGTCTCGAGTGCAATGCAAGGATCGCATCAAGGAGCTGGGTGTCCAGTCTGACGAGACAAAGGCATCAACCCCTTTTTTCTTGTGCCAGAACTATAAACTCCCGCCCCGGTCTTTCACTCACAGGCCCTGCTGCTGGATCTCTACGACTGCTACGAGGCTCTCGAGGCAAAGCTCGTCGATGCTAAGGAAGGATCTTGTTTACCAACTCCAATTTACCTTCCAACCCTCTTGAATTGCAGGCAAAGTTGAAGGCACGGGATGGGGCTCGGCTATCCCCGACATCACCGGTGCCCGACTCAATTTGATATCTCTCCCAATCCTACTTCTTTGAAGCCCCCCGCTCACCAGGCTCGGGCCTTGAAGGAATCGGGATCGGAAGACTCTGACACCGAAGTTGCCGCAGCCTCAAATCAACATTATTGAGCTGGATATTACTATGCCGGAAGATCTTACTGTCCCTCCTATAGGTTTCTCGACAAAGTGACTCCGAAGACAGCTCTGTTGCAAAGGCAAGAGACTCAGAAGCACAGACAAAGCTGAAGTTGGTGAAACATATTAACCCTATTACAACTGTCAAGGCCACGGCAAAGCGGCCGCGAACCACAGGCAGGAACCTTTGCAGCCACGAAGGATGAGTGCATGCACCAACCATGTCTGAATCTATAGAGGTCACGATGATGCGACGTCTGCGAATGGCATGGGTCACTGGACTGGAGACAGTAAACACAGACTGTGTCGAACTGGTCCTAGCTGTTCACAACTCTTCCTCAGGTGACGACGACTCCTCGAACGCAAGGGGCTCATTTAATTTCACACATGACGAATCAAATCATGAATCACTTGAAAGTTCAAGTTCTCTTGCAACTGTCAAGGCCCGAAGAAAGCGACAGTGACAGGTCAGTCGATCACAGGGCGCTGGAGGTATCAAAAGGCAGCTGCACACTGCATTGCACCATGTCGTGTCAAGTGGGCACTCTCACATCATTGGCTGACAGTTGCCAAGGCCCTGGCACATCATCTCGGACACATCGCGGGCGCCTAAAGCAGTGCCCTCAACGAAGTCCTGGATAACAGTTAGTAGGCTGCCATGCATAGTCATCACGACATTTAATTAAAACCCATTCTAATTCGCAACCTCCCTGACTCAGTTGCTAAGAGATGTGTTGCATAATTTGTCGATGTGTGGTCAATGATATGAGCTTCAACTCCACATGACTGCTCAGCCTAAAAGCATCTTGCGGCAGTTCTGGAACAATGTTCGGCAGCTCCCAAGTGGCAGGCAGTACACTCAGAAAATCACCGGCTTCCACTCCTCCCCACCCCCCCCCTTCCTTCCTTGTTCGACCCCCATCCCCCTCCATCCCCCCCATCCCATCCCCCCCCCCCCATTCCCCCCCATCGCCCCCACTCTCTCCCTCCCTCACTCCCTCCCATTCCCTCCCCTCATGTGCTGTGACAGCTTCTGCTGCTGCGCTATCACAGCGCCTTCTTCTGCGCTGTCACAGCGCCTTCTTCTGCGCTATCGCAGCGCCTGTGGATTAGTATGTGTGCGCTGTCCCAGCGCCTGTGACTCGTTGCACTATCACAGTGCCTGTGTGCACTGTCCCAGTGCCTCTACTGTCCCAGCACTCCCGGCCTCTTCCTGCTAGGATCTCGTCGCCGAGCTTGCCTGCAAGGCCCTGAAAGGATGCCTGTGGTAGACTTAAATTGTTCTGCTAGGGTCTAGGCTAGGGTTTCTAGTTTCAACAAGTTTAGGGCAATTTAAGGCTTTTTGGGTGGTTTCAGATGGGAAGTTGATGTGGCACCGGGAAGATTTACGAATAGTGGGTTGAGGTCCATTAATGATGGTAACCATGATCATGACAAGATTCAGCTGACAGCCCTTTGATATGAGCAAATCTGTGGGGATGGCCAAAATGCACTGAGAATCCAGCTGTTCGCCTACACCCACCCATGTGCCAGGTGTGTGTGCATGCATGTAGTATGTGCATCAATATATATATATATATATATATATATATATATATTAGCTTGTCAGCATGTTCTTTCACAGGCCCAAAAAACTCTGGACATCAGGCTCTTGGTTTCTTTCAACCACCTCTGAAATTTGCCAACGATTCTTCCAAAAGACAGTGGCAATAATGACCAGAAGCAGGCCGAACCTAAGATTTACGATTTCCCATTCTTACTTGGTACCAAGTAAGAATGTAAAATCTTATGCGCACATATCTGAGGACTACATAACCATCCAGATTTGGAGCTTCGAAGTTGCCTGTCACACTTTGCTGCCAAGTAAAATTGTAAAGCCGTGTGTGAAAGCAATGAGAGAGATAGGGGAAATGAAGGTTTTGAGCTTCTCGGTGGTGTTCCACTCTTACTGGGTACCAAGTAAGAGTGTACAATCTTCATTTTTGTAGAGGACTACATGATCAAGTACCGAAAAAAACAAACTATCACTTGCTATTGGCCAAACTATCGGTTGTAATGACTGTTCCTTAATGGCTGGCCAGCCCCTGATGCAGACAGGCGGCACTTGTTGAAGAATGGGTCGCCGTTAAAGAAAGCGTCTTTCTTGCAAACGCCGTGATTGTCGCCTCTGCTGCTGCGGCATAGCGGTAGCGCATCTAGCCCCTCACTCTCAATCCTGAACCGGATGAAGATTCGATGATTCTATCAAGCCCCCAATCCGTCGTAGACTGCTGCGACAGCACCGCCACTTGAATCGATTCTACCTGTGTGCTAGTTTCATGTTCATAGTTCATACTGCTTCTGCGGCGATCACACTGACTGCAAGCAACGGGGAAAGCCAGTGGTACTTTGTGGCAACTTCATATTTATGGAAACCACATCTCGTCGAGAAATGGCTGCTCTGCAGAGCGTTTCAGCTGCCATCTTCTTGCGTCACAACAGCTCATAACAGGAACGTTCCTCTTACCAGTAGGACTCACATTCCTGACAGTGCTGTGCAAAGGATAGGGTTGAAGGATGGTTCAAGTTTAGGAGTTTTGATTGTTCCTGGCCAACGGCTTAGCATGCAGGACTTATGCGACAGCCTCCAAAGGCCCATCGTTCCACACCTAGCCCTTGGACCCCGAATCCGAGAATCTCATTCAGCTAAGCAGCAATCCTCTCTGCTTCCTGGGAGGTGTCTGTAATCGCGCTCAAGGGTTCTGGAACGTCTCCAGCCAATGTAAGTCACTGCTTGACAACAGGACTATGGGACCGGAGCGCCTGAAATGTCGATGCTTTACTTGTTCGGCAGCATTCATGTCACGTGCATGAGAGTGCTTGTGTGCGGGTGGGTGTGCATGTGTGCGTGTGTGCATGAGAGGGCAAGCGTGAAAGCGCGAGTGTATCTACGCACCTTCCCCGATCGTCCTTTATTCTTCGAAGTTCTTTTTTCGAAATCTGTTTCTTTACATCCTCAGTCTTTATTAAACCATAACTGACAAACCCTGAACCCCAGGAGCGAAACCCCCAAGATCAGCAGTCCGAAACCAGGCAGCCTGGCAACCTTTAACCTTCAGTGCACCTAAACGTTTGCCACCGATAATGTAGGGGTTTGAATAGAGTAAGTAGGGTTTGGGCCATGATGCACTGTACACATGCATGGACTCTAAGGAGATGCTCTTACTAGCTATTCAGGCCTCTCTACTACATGCCTTCAACCGCAGACTTCACTCTCTTTGAGTCCTGTAGCCCTGGGAGCTCTAAAGTCGAAGCCTGAATCATAAGCCTAACTTTTTTCATAGGCCCTTTTACTTTAGGGCTTAGGGTTGCAATCTTGGATTCCCCGAGCCTTCAACCTGAGCCTCGAAACCAACACAGCCGTCCGACCACGGACAGCTGGAGTCTAGCCCTCATTTCTCGGGTCCTCAAGCCTCTCAGCCCTAAGCATACAACTTCCTTGCCCAACAAGCAAGGGAATACAAAGTCAAGCTGTCAGAACCATGTCAACTCAGAAAAAAGTTTCATTGGGCCTCTGGTAACTTCGTGCCACGAAAACCAAAGTCTTTTCATCCCCAGCCGACAAGTCTTTCAGCCCAAACCCTAATTCCATCCAAAGCCCTCCTTCGACGGGGCTCCTACGGTGCACGACCCC